AAAAATAATTTTTTACGTTTTTTCCAAAGCTGCTTTGGCATGCTCCCACTTAGGTTATTTTATAGTACGAACCTTCAGAAAAATCTATGAATTTTTGGACTTTTACAGAGAGTAGTTTTTGACACACATCAACTTTAGCTCAAAAACCCGAAAAACGACATTTATTTTTGGCCTAATTTGGTATATGTACGTTTCTCGAATTACAGTCATGAAAAAATAAGCAAGTTTACAGTTAAATATTAGATGTAGGGGCTACATGCCTGAGCAAGTAATAGGAGATACTTTTTCTAAAGTAGATCTTCTTGGGTTTCGGCTTCGAACTCCATATAGAACCGGGTGCTATTTTGTAGACTTTGCTTTGCTCTGCCGAATATTAATGTAGAACCTATTCAAAGACAAGACGAAAGCAAATTTGCGGGAAAAAGTAAAAACGATAACTTATGGGACACCTCAAAATATTCATCAGTTTACGACTTAATGTAATCAAATTGAAGTACGCTTTGCTACTACTAATTTTTCGGAATTTTTTAACCTGTAATCTTCTTTTTTTCTGATTTTTCTTCACCCTTATTACCACAACCAAAATCTCAAATAACATCAATTTTTGTTTCTCTGCAATATTTCGCTAACAAACTGATGCTCTTTTGCTCGTGCAATTAGGATCTTCCAAGTTCATCTAAAGTGGGTCCTGATTTTACACATATCTAAATTCTTAACCTACACATTAGGCGCTGCTCATAAGCCTTTTCTAATAGCACAGTACCAACCAGTACCTTTATTGCCATTTCACCTATAACATGTGTAAAAACAGCTATAAAGACCACGGGAACTAAATTTTTTACTTAATAGTAAGTTAAACAGCAACAATCCACTTATCTCGTACACCACGGATACACGTTAGAAATCTGTTCGTGAATTAGGAAATTTCCGCGCATTTTATAACCATATTACACCACGCTAAAACCGTCCGAGATACAGATTTACAAAACAGAAAACAATCCTCTAAGCAAAAGAAGAGAAAACGAGTACTATCAATCACATTTCAACAGTCGACAATAAATTATTTTAGATACATAATCTTTGTGCTGTTATCAATGATGATACGGTGAGCCGCGATAACCTGCAGGACCTGGACCACGTGCGAATGGATTACCTCCAGGAACGCCAATAGGGGCGCCCATGGGTGGTGGGGCAAAGCCACCCATTGGTGGAGCGCCCATGGGTGGAGAGAATGGTGGCGGAACTCCTCCTGCAGGTGGTGCCGGTTCAGAAGGTGGTGCTCCAAATTGTTGTGGTTGTCCAAAAGCGGTAGGGGGTGGCGCGAATTGCTGTTGTGGTGGAGCGAAACCCTGAAA